TTTGGCTATTGCCAATCTGGTGAGAAAATCTGACCTTAATTCATCTCAACTTCTTTGGACTGAAATATTAACCTTTCTTCCTGTTTCTTGTTTTCTTTTCTTGATTGACACCAGTGTCTACTATATCTCGCTGTTTGATCTCATCTACTTTAGTCTTTCTGCTCTGTCTAACCCAAAAGGCAACTTGTCTCGTGGTAAATCTTCTTTCTTGTTTTCTCACTATGGACTGCTTTTCTTCAATCATTTGTCTTCTTGTTCTAAAACTCTAACACTTGTTTTTATTCTCTTTTTAAGTTCTGGTTCGAGCTTCAATTATAATTCCTGTTTTTCATCATGTTAAAATTAACAATGCATTTTGCAGACAGTTAGCATAAAATGATTGACTTGGGCAGGATTTGAACCAGCGACCTTAGCTTGAAGCTAAGACACTATACTAGAAGTGCTGCCTTTTACCAACTAGGCTACCAAGTCCATGCCTGATGTGCTGATATTTAGAACACTGTGGATTACAGAATTTCAACAATAAGCTTGGAACCTTACCGATACAATATTGGTAAGGTTCCTTTCTCTGAACCTTACCAATATTGTATTGGTAAGGTTATTGGCTTTGCTTACATGAGCAAAACATCCCTGGATGTTTTGCTCATGTAAGCGGCCTGTCTCTCTCCTCCTTGGGAGGAGAGAGAACTTTATCGATATCAAGTATCAATTAAGTTCTCTCTCCTCCCAAGGAGGAGAGAGAACCTTGATTCCCGGCTGCTTACCTCATCAAAACATCCCCGGATGTTTTGACGAGGTAAGCAGCCTGCTGCTCTGTTTGTCCCCCCCCCCTCTTTCCTCCCCCTCCTTTTCTGTCCTCAACCACCACCTCACCCATCCCCAGCCAACCCACCGACAAAAGCGACGCAAAACAACCGCCTCCCAACCCGACCGAGGCTACCCAAACCAACAAAGGGTTGTTTCCAGGACCTAGAGATTCCAAGGGAGCCCACGCACGTCCGAGCCGTCAATCTGATCTGATCAATTTCTGACCCTGGTGGAAAAAAAGTAAGTATTTTTTGTTTTCTTTTTCAGTCACTTGCCCCGGAATACGACGAAAAGGACTTTTTGGTGGCTATCCAGCCATGAGGGCATGAAGCTGACCCTTTTTTTTCAATCCAGAAGACCAACCAACCTTGAATTGCACCGGCTCACATCAGAATCCAATGCGGGGCAATAAAAAAGAAGGCTGAAACTAGGCCTTGTGAGTAAATTCTTTTTGGGTCTCCTGCCTGGAAAATACGCCACAAAGGGATTTTTCTGGCATGTGTAAGGGTATGATGCTGACCCTTTTTTTATCCATCCAGAAGACCTACTCTCACATAAAAGTCCCATCAGGGGCAATAAAAAAGTGCCCTAGGTACAACTTGTGAGTAATTTTTTTTGTGCATTGATAAATGCCCGCCCTCCCCCCTCCCCCCCGCCCACGCCCACGCCCCTCCAAAAGGGGCGTGCAATTGCACCCGCCTGTCTCTGAGGGGTGGGTTTGATCGCACGCCCCTCGGAATCCTGATCTTCCAAGGAATCAGGCGTCCGAGGGGCATGCGATCAAACCCGCCCCTCAGAGACGGGCGGGTGGGATTGCACGCCAACCGCCCAAGAGGTCATGGCAGGCTGACGTAAGCAAAACACTATGGAGTGTTTTGCTTTTGTCAGCGCGCCAATGACTCTTGGCCTTCCAGACCTGTACAGTCTTCATGGCCGGGAGGAAATCCCTCCTGGCCTTCGAGACTTGTACAGTCTTGAAGACCGGGAGGGATTCCTCCCGGTCTTTGAGACTTGTACAGTCTCGATGGCTGGGAGGGATTCCTCCTGGCCTTTGAGACTTGTAAAGTCTCCAAGACCGGGCAGAATCCCTCCCGGCTATCGAGACTGTACAATTCTCGATGGCCGGGAGGGATTCCTCCTGGCCCTCCAGGCCAGGCGTGCAGGCCAACCCCCCCTTTTTTGGGCGGGTTGTACTGCACGCCCCTCTTGTTGCAAATGTAAGCAAACCGAGGGGCGTGTAGCAAAACCCGCCCAAAAAGAAGGGCGGGTCTTACTTCCCGCCCCTTTTGGAGGGGCGGGGGTGTGGGCGGGCGGGTGTTTATCAATGCACATTTTTTATGGGTGCGCAATCTGGAAGAGTCTGAGGTTTTTTTTTTCATCCACGCCATAGACCTACAAACTGCTTGAGTGAAGCTACCATCAATCTGGGGCCATAAAAAAGAACCCTTGGTACAACATGTTAGTAGCTTTTTTCTTGAGCGACCTGCCCCCCAATACGCCCAAAATAAGTGTGATTGGGGCCATGCAGCAATCCGGAATGGTATGAGGGTACATCACAAGTTAATTGCTCACAGATTTTCTTTTTGGTTTCCTTGCAGTCCTCCTACACATACTGCAACCACCCACTCCTACTCTCTCAAGTGTCAAGTGTAAGTATTCTGATCTTTTTAACCCTTGCCATAATAAATTCAATGCTGACTTCTACCTGTGGTTGTGCAGACCATGTCTACCCTGGAACTTAAGTTAATCTGTTGGCATTTTTCATCATGGGTTCTTTCCATCTCACACACCTGCTTGAAATATGTCACAGGTTTGGACCTTTACGAAAAAGTCCAGGCGTTGGCCGCCCACCCGGCTTTGAAACCAAACGAACGGGGCCACATTCAAGCGCTCCTCAACGATATCAAGGCAGATTACGAGAAGTCTGATGACGAGTATAACACAGGTTGTCCAGAGGTCACCTGCAACCCCTGCCGGTGAGGAGCGCCCTCAAACGGCTGTGCAGTCATTTGCTCTTCCAGCTGCCCAATCCCCCGCCCGCCCCACTGGTTCGGAATCTTACCTGGCCTCAGAGCCCCAGCCGGCCAAAGACATTCAAACACCAAATCAATCAACCTTGTGTGCCCCAAGGATGGGTGAATTTTTCATCCTCCCAAATCCTATTGGCGCACCTTGAACAACCTGCCCCACCTTCAGCCAATTCTTGTTGGGCAATACAACCAGTCCAGTACCGGCAGACATTGATATGGATTCACACATGCAAGATGGGCAACATTTGGACAATTCACTGAGTACTCTCAATACGTTGGGACAGACGACTTTCCTCATGCGAACCGGCAATGAATTTCTAGAGTCAATTGAGCAAAATCACGCGGTCCTTAATAAGCGTGTTTCTGTAACACAGGCATCCAACCCTGCAACTACGACTAGCCTGATGACTGCTGTTCCATTGAAATCCTCCACCACTGAGCCTGTTGGTTTGCACCCAATACATCCCAAAAGAACAGTCATCCACGAGCCACGTTCACGTCCCACCCAATACCGCTTGCCCATGGTACAATTGGAAGGGATGGATGATGATGTGGTGGCCAAAAGAGCACGCTTGGAATGCCGTGGTTGACATGAGGATGCCAATGGGAGTACTGATGATGAGGTTGACAACTTGGACAAGCAACCATCTCAAGGACAAGCCGAAGTGGGTCTTGACAATGGTCTGGGGCGCACTGCCGATTTGACGCGCGGGCCAAACGGACCCCCTGAGCAGGGCTCTCATCCTTCGGAATTCCTGACGGCTTCTATCTTCAGGGACTACATCATTCCACGAAGACCTCATGAGGGCACTGGAGCAAACTTGAATGATAAGCGCCCTCGCGCAGACCAGAGCCAAAATTCTTCTGGGGGGGCCACTCCTTTGCGGTCTGCAAGATCACCCTGTGAGTTGTTTGTGATGATTTTTGGTAGGATATTAGCTGACTTGAATCTTACTTCCTAGCGGTGGAGCTGTTTGTCCCTGGCCAACACCTAACAGCACAAGAGGTAACCCGATGGAAAACCAAGTTATCAACTGGAATCCCGTGGCCAATTGAATCTGCGGAAAAGAGTATTAGAAATATCAGTTTCATAATCAAAAACCTCCCCCAATTGATATTGTCACACCCCAAATTACCTGAAGAAGCCACTAGATCACTTTGGATTGATTTGGATCACACCCATCAGCTATGTGTTTCAGGTATGAAGTTTTTCTGAGCCAATGAAATTACTCTTCTGACTCATGCTGATATTTATGATTTCCTCCACAGAGGGCATTTTGAAGACAGCGGGGAATTTGTTTCTGATCACACCTGACATGGTCAACATGGACCAATTCACTCAACCGCGGGCGGGTTCAGCACGGGCCGGCTCACACATACTTGCCCCCAATCTGGCAAGCTTCTTTGCGCCTCCCAAAGTTGCATACACTTGTCTTCTTGCAGCGTTGGAGCAAGCTTGGGGAATACAACGTTTGGCCAATGTTAAAAACGAGTGGGTTCATGTAAGGACTGAGAGTCCTTCACTGGATAAAGGAGAAAAGGAGGCTCGAGGGACGGGCAGAAGCCAGATAATTCTAAGACCAAACAGAGTAGTTTTGTATTACTGGTTCAGAGAGAGGATGGGGTCAGTTCTCTCCTGATGATAATCTGAATCCAAGAGAAATACAAAAGAAGAAGGAGACTAGAAGGGCTTACCTGGTTCAGAGAGAGGATGGGGTCAGTTCTCTGCTGAACCAGGGAAGGAACACTGAGACGGGAAAACTAGAGATAAAGTGTGACATCTTGTAATAATTCTTGTGAACCCTGACAACGGAGGGAGGGGTTTTACAGTTCAGCAAGCAAAAAACAAGAATAACGGGTTATACACGGCTTATTACCTATTCTACCAGTCATATGATAACCTTGGCGCATCACTCAACGACCGGGAAGGGGATGGCGCATCACAATTGGCAATGGAGTTGGTCCGAACTTCTGTGGCGCTATGGCGGGGCTGGCGTTCATCTGAACCATGAACAACATGAAAACCAAGCAGGCCAAATTGGATAAACTGAGAACTGTTCACCACGTACAACATGTGCAGATGCTCGCAAACCTCTTGATCTTTGGCCCAACAGCGGCTTTCACTTCACTCCACAAAGGCCCACACATGACATTATTGAACGCAAACGCCTTGTTGGAATTAGGCTCCAGTTTGCTCAAACAGAAGATTGACCTGGGAATCACTACACCAATGCCTCATTTGACATTGGACAATCTTTGAATACACTTCCTGAATTTCCTGATTAAAATGGGTTTCAACAAGTTGGACAACAAAGGTGTCCCTCAGGTTAATTGGAAAGACTAGAGATCGTTTGTGCGTACTTTTTGCAGGTACCTGGTACCTCCTGGGGGGTACCCCTCGCACCCGCCTGCCAGGTGCGGTACTTGGTACCTATTTTTGTGAAAATTTGAACAGGTACCCCCCCTCACTTCCCTACCAAAGATCAAAATGATGGTGGCCTTCTACTCCAAGAACTCCAAGATCCAAGAAGGTACCTTGGCTGCATGGAAACAGGGACTCAAGGATAACAAGATCAAGTCTAACAAAACATCAGAAAGGAAGGTTATGGTTTTGGATGACAATGAAGATTCTTCCAATTAGTTATAAGTTGTAGATAGTTTAAACTTTGCAATTAATTATTAAATATGAACAAATGAAAAAATGACTTGGGACTGATGTTTAACAATAAACATGAAAAAAATAGAAAATTAAGATTCTTCCAATTAGATGTAGATATATTACAACAGATATTAAAAAATGCCAAAAAAGTGACTTGTGAGTGATATTTTACAATAAATATGAAGAAATAATAATAATAATAAAGTGACTTGGGACTCTGGGAGTGAAACTAGGTGAAAAAGAGAGGGGGGGGGTACCTGAGGTACCTGCAACAGGTACCTTGGGTACCCCCCGGGAGGTGTCTGGTGTGGTACATGGTATCTATTTTCTTGAAAAAATGAACAGGTACCTAGGTATAAACAGGTACCTAGGTCCGAACAAACGATCTCTAGGAAAGACGTACATACTTCTTTCTACAATGTCTTTTCTCCTTTGGTGATTGCTGGAATCTTTTCTCAAGATATTGAAATAGCACTGGCCCACCGGTTGGTTTGATTGGTTGTGCCTTAGGGTTCTTTTGGCATGTTTTTTTTCCTCTGAGGGCTGTCTTTTTTTGGACATTATTGTCATCTTCTTTTGTCTTCTTCTTTGGGGCTTTTTGCTTGTCCATGTTATTCTGCTATTAATTTCTGCTCTTAATTTAGTGTGAGACAGTGATACTCCTGTTAATTTCCCTCTATGTGGTCAGAGGCAAGTTCCTCCTTGGTAATTTGTGTCATCTGTGGATATGCTTGTTGGCTGGGTCTCTCAATGTTTGCTGTCTTGTATCCTCAATACTGACTCACAAAACGTGCCTGACATGTGTAACTCAGGTTTGAGTGTTCACAATCAGATATAAACCTGATTGTCAGTATTATATGGTTGCATACAAGGGCATGCACCCCAATCATGTGGGATGAGGTGAAAATCATAAGATGTGGGGTGCTTTCCAAATCACTAACACCAAATGCAACCAGTGGGGGATATTTTGAGCATAACATATGTGGGCAGGGCTGTCCGTCAGCCCGCGTGTCAGTGTCAGCCTTGAGGTATATACATACCCATAGGCCTCAAAATATAAAATAATAAAAATAACAATTACAACTCATAGTCAAGTCTCAAGACTAGCCCAAGAAAAAATATTATAAATAATAAATTAATATTAAGCATAAAAATCTACATATAAGAGTGTATATGGTCAAAAGCCTGCAAATGACCACAAAGGCCTTTAAAAATAAAAATAAACTTTTTTACTGGATGACTTCCCGTCGCAATCTGCGACCCTCCCAGAAGTCAATTTACACCCCTTAGATCTAATTTTTTCAACATCAAAAATATTTTTTCTTGAGCCTTCCAGCAATCACAGTCACCTGAGCTGGTTGAAATGTTGATTGTGTTGTTAATTTAGGACTGAGAGAGGTCTAAAAAGCCTCCTAAATTGCGACGGGAAGTCCTCCACTTTACTTATAAAATAAAAACAAAACTCATGTAGTTACATACCACTGTGTAACTACATACTCAAAAAACAAAGAATTCTGTAAAATAATCAATAACTAAAGAGTTACAGACATTTAAAGTTACAGAACCAAATCAGCTGATGAAATAAACAAAGTTCATTGGATGCGAACTCAAGATAAACAAGGTTCCAAGGCTTGTGCAACATGTACAACCTTGTAGTTCAGCAACTATAACCAAGTAACCAGTTTAGACCACATATTCTGAACCCTGACCAGCCACTTGGTCATGTAACCTGTTTTGTTTATTCCTAGCCTTAATAACCTTTCTGAGCGAACTCAGAATATCCTCTTACATCAGCCATCCACGAGAACAACCCTGGTCCAGTTTGAAATCAACAGGGTTGAGAATTGGCCCATTTCAATCTGGCCCAAGTAGTTTAACACTACAACCAATACCCATTTTGCCCCAAAAATAAATGGCAATTTGGGTGGGGGAAAATGGATCAATTTTCTGGAAATTTTTTCCAAAATGACTCAGGAGTAGAAATGAGGCTAAACTGAGCTATTTTAGCCCAGAGATAGAAATTCATCAAACATTCCAAAATGAATTTTTAGCTCATTTGAGACATTTTTATTTTTGGGCCTTAATAAAAAAAACCCACATTTTCCGCGTTTTGACGCGGTTTCTGCTGCGCGCAGCACACGCGCATTCCGCGTTTAAACCCGCTTTTTTAATTAATTTTTTTTTGGGCCTTAATAAAAAAACGCGGTTTTTCCGCGTTTTGACGCGGTTTTGATGCGCCGCAGCACACGCGGTTTCCGCTTTTAGACGCGGTTTTTTAATTAATTTTTTATGGGTTATTTTTTGAGTTTTTTGAATTCTTTATAAGTTGTTTCCTACACTATAAAAGGCGTAGAATTTAATGGTAAAAACCATTTTTCATAAAAATGAATTTTGATTATTAATTATTTTTTTTCACTCATTTCTCAATTAATTGTTTGCATACATGTATGTACCTTATTTTTTATGCTTTTGTGAAATTTTAAAATTATTTTCTAGGTTTCAATGTGTGTAGAATTTAATGGTGCAATCCAATTTTTTTAAAACTCAACGGTTCATTTTTAATACTGAAATTAGACCCATTTTTTCACTTAATTTTTTACAGCTTAATTCTCATCATTTTTTGACATTTTAAATTTATTTCCCACACTTTAAGACATGTAGAAAATGATGGTAACAACCATTTTTCCCCAAAATGAAAACTATACCTTGAATGCCGCATTTGACACGTTTTTTTTAATTAATTCATCACTTTTTCACTTAATTGTTTGCATACATGTGTGTACCTTATTTTCTATGCTTTTTTGAAATTTTAAAGTTGTTCCCTACATTTAAAAATGTTTAAAATTTAATGGTAAAACTCAATTCCCATAAAACTCAATGGTTCATTCTGGATACTGTAATTAGTCATATTTTTCAATTGATTTTTAAGAGCTTAATTTTCATTATTTTTTGACATTTTAAATTTGTTTCCTACACTTTCAAACATATATAAAATTATGGTAACAATGAACTTTCATCAAAATGAAAACTATATCTTGAATAATGCCTTTGACGTGTTTCCTGAATTAATTCTTACACCCTCAATTATCCTTATTTTTTGGAATTTCAAGCTCATTTCCTACACTTTTCAAGGTTTCAAAATTGATGGCTGTATCCATTTTGCATTCAAATAAAATTTGTATATGGTACAAATTATGCAAGAAACAGGGTACGCTCATCTATTAAGATTGAAGCTTGTATTTTGAGTGAAATTGGACTTCACCATTCAATTCTAAACATTTTTAAATGTAGGAAATAAATTTAAAATAAAAAAATGCTTAAAATCAGGCCGGTAAAAATCAATCAAAAAAACATTAAAAAAAGCCTGTCCACTGCAGTATTCAGTAACAAGCTTTGATTTTTATGTAAAATGATTGTTACCATAATTTTATACATGTTTGAAAGTGTAGGAAACAAATTTAAAATGTCAAAAAATAATGAAAATTAAGCTCTTAAAAATCAATTGAAAAATATGACTAATTACAGTATCCAGAATGAACCGTTGAGTTTTATGGGAATTGAGTTTTACCATTAAATTTTACACACTTCTAAATGTAGGAAACAACTTTAAAATTTCAAAAAAGCATAGAAAATAAGGTACACACATGTATGCAAACAATTAAGTGAAAAAGTGATGAATTAATTAAAAAAAAACGTGTCAAATGCGGCATTCAAGGTATAGTTTTCATTTTGGGGAAAAATGGCTGTTACCATCATTTTCTACATGTCTTAAAGTGTGGGAAATAAATTTAAAATGTCAAAAAATGATGAGAATTAAGCTGTAAAAAATTAAGTGAAAAAATG